ATTTGTGATCAGAGAAATGACAAACAACAAGCGCTACACTACACTACTCAAAATACAACTTAACCACTGATCTCTAGTCATGTCCTCTTTTGGAAGGCTGAACAAAGTAGTTTCGCTTTCACAACGAAGCACACAACGCCTCCACGACATGGCGGCGGCAACAATACTACAGCGAGAATAAAAGTTACGCCTTCTTTCTTTGTGTGAACATTTGGGCGGCGTAATGCACATCTTCCCACATCGTGACGTAGATATGTGGGGAGGTGTTAGAACGAGCTGTTTTAGGTAGGTGAGGTTAACTCAACTTTTATAAAGAATATCTTTTTGGATTTAAGACTTTAGTCTTTGCAACTTTACAGATCTTCTTTATGCACCAAGAGCTTGTAACACTCCAAAGAGAAAGGAAAAATTGAAATCGCATCATATGACCCCTTTAAAAATAAAGATTCAGAGATATTTTTACTTTATAAAGAGCTGTGTTTTGGGGGATTCTGACACTTCTGTCTGTTTCAATTCAGTGTCAGGATCCAGATATTCATGCTCCATGTTTTTTGTGAGGTTTTTCATCCAAGTTTCATGTGCTTGTGTGTTATTTAGCACATTTGTTTTCACTGGCTACATGTTCTTGTATTCTCATGTCTGGAGTGAGTGCATGGCTCCTATCATGTTTATGTGCCTTGTGCAGTACATGTCTTGACCCTGCCTTCTTGTTATCACATTAGTTTAATTTGCCCCAACTGCCTTCCCTTGTTAGCCTCCTCACTTCCTTCCCTATGTATTCTCCCTGTGTGCACTGCTGTGCCAAATCATCTTCTATTGTTCCCAGTCTTGTGCTTTCCATGTCCCATTCAGCTTTGCCCTGCCTGGGTAGTTTTTGTTTGTTATTGTTTAGAATTTTTAAACTAAAGTCCATCTAACTCTGCACCTGATTCTTCACCATTCCACCTATAGTACTGAGTGTGGTTAATTAGTATTACTCAGTAATTGTTTGTGTAATTACACATAACCAGGACACCTTAAAATAAACTGTAACCAGAAAGTCATGCAGTTCTGGAATGACGATTACAGTTATGAATCAAAACACAAATTTTTTTATTATAACGTTGCTTAGTGTCAAAATGTCCAGCTACGGATGTTTGGACCTTTAAAAATCAAGGAAAAAATAAATATATATATATATATATATATATATATATATACAACAGCACTCTTGCTTGTATGATATTGCTTAATTCTTTTTTAAAGAGAATGAAAAGCTTGGGACGTTTAATACCTGCGGTTTGTAAACGGTCTCTGTCTTCCCCTGTATTTTCATAGCATTCAGCAGGCTCCTGTGAGCACGGCTCCTGTGCATTTGTGCCTGTGTTTTCGTAGCATTCTCCAGACGAGGTGCAGGATGACTCAAACGAGTCCACTGTGCGAGAGGTGATGACAATACTCATTGTAGCCTAATCAAAGACTTTTGTATGTAATTTAATCATATTAAAGACCTCTCTTCAGTCAATGGGTTGTTATAAACAGTTCTCACCACTTGTAGCAGACCCACGCATCTGCTGTGCGTTATGATCAGAGATTTGCTGGTATCCTCCCACTGTGACCTTTGC